CCCTAATTTGCTGTATTCACTGTTACATGTCTGATATGTGTAATATGTACTGTAATGTAAAAGGCTTTGAGCATTCGGAAAAGTGCTCTAATAGATGTAGTGGAGTAAAGTACTGATACCAGAACAATATACTTACAGTAAGTACAGTAACGAAGTATTTGTACTGTACTACTTCCCACCTCTGCACACACCTCCCTCACACACACCTCGGGCGTGAGGAAGACGTTGCTGAGGTCAGCAGTTTGCAGTCAGTCTGAGTGCAGATCTGTGGAATTTCTCTCCTTCTCGAGATCTCCAGCTTCACGCCCTGCAGACTCACTGTCCGTCAGCCTGCCCTGAGCAAACACACACACACACACACACACACACACACACACACACACACACACACACACACACACACACACACACACACACACACACACACACACACACACACACACACACACACACACACACACACACACACACGTTTGGGGAGATCTGAGGGTAGTAAACAGGTTTTAAGCTCAGGGTGATGAGGAAATCTGCAGCCTGTACATGCACTGAGATTTTGTTCTTGTTTGATACTTTGCCATGTTTTGCAACCACGCACATCGCAGAAGATCACCAAGTACAGTAACTCAATCCAGTACTTTTGACATGTAAAAAGTGGAGATGATTTTAGACGTTTAGAAAACTCGATTTTTTTAACCGATTTGATCACTTAGTATATTCATTTTGGAGAGGAAGCGACCTCTGCAGATAAATTGGCTTCTGGTAAACACAATGAATAATTCAGGAATCCTAAAAGTGAGAAACAGACTGCAAAAAGCCACACAAAACTTTGTAGTTTGAATTAAGAGACCCCGATGGTGTGCCTTTAAGTAGTGTGAGTACTTATTTTTCGTTACAGAGGGAGCAGAGGAGTTGGGTGGCCCTGATGTTAAGACAGACTGTGGAAGTGGTTCAGAAACAGATGGTGCAGAAAACACTCTGAATGACCTCAGCCCACACCTGCCAACGTAATTATTTTATAAACATCCTGAAAATATCAACTTCCATCGAGAATTTGCACGAAAGTTTCTGAAATGTGTCACCTTCAGCCGGAAAAAGGCTTCCATTGATGCCCACATTGTTGTTACTCTAAAGCAAACAAATAGAATATATACAGTTTATTATCTCTATATTTATCATTAAAAGATTACAGATAAAAAACATTTGGTTCTTTGTCGTAGTCTAAAGGTATTTGCACATTGTTTGCAAGGTTTTGTAAGAAAGGAAAAGCTCAAAATGGGTTTATTTGCAAGACCCAGAGGAAGTGGGATGACGAGACGTCTGGAGCAGACCCGGCGCCAAATAAACATGGTTTTTTGTATTTATAAAAAAAAATAAAAAAATGATAATTGTATTATAAATAAACTGTGAACTTTAATGCTCCGATGTATGTGATGTCAGATAGTAACTACAAACAAAATCGTAGGCTAAATTCATGTGTCTTTTGTGATTCGTCCACATTTAGACCAATCACAGCGTCACACTACTCTGCCGCCTATTCTAGATTAGTTTTTTATAGTGCATTCTGTAGACTCCCATTTCTGTTTTAAATTACAAAATGGACTTCAGAAATTGGCTTAAAACCACGAGTAGGTCTAAGGATTTATTAAAAATAAATTGCGATGAAAGAACTGCAGCCGATGGTGCTGCTGGCGACCCTGCACCTGCCGTTGCAGCAGCACGCCTTAATGTTACTAGCTTGACCTCGGCAAACCCCGGGGCTGAGTTACGCTAGTACGCACTGCATAATGTGGTGTCGCTCTGTATTATTATGTTTGCTGCTCCGGTCAACGGTTGCCCAAGTTTAAGCCCCACGCAAAGCTGTTGCTGTTTTGTTTTTATTTCAAATTTGTGCCTTGCTCATGAGTGACCAGTGTTTGTGCCGCCACGCACACAATGTTTCAAACGTGGTTTCTATGTTGCCCTTTATTTGTGTATTTATTTCTGTATTGATTTGCGATAGGTTTGCGTCTTTACGCAATGCTGTTGGCCATGCTGTTTGATACGATCTATATTGTGCCGCGGCCATACTTGCCAACCCTCCCGATTTTCGCGGGAGACTCCCGATTTCATTGCCCTCTCCCGGTTTCCTCCCGGGGTCATATTTCTCCCGCATTTCTCCCGATTTCTGACAAAATCAGATTTACTCAGGACTTTAATACAGCTACACCATTGGTTGGTTCCCATGGTAACGTAGCGGCGCAACTGAAAGTCTGAGAGGGTGAGGAAGATAGTCACAGCAAACAGAACAAGAATCGACAATTCTACCCTCTGCTCACTCCTTTCCTGCCAGCCCACACATATGGTGCTACAGGCCGCAAGGCAGTGCACTTACGACTACAATAAGCATGTTAATGTTAATCTAATACAGCTCCGGCGATCCACTAGCACCCCCCCCCCCCCACCCCCGCGGTGGTTTTGGAAATGCTCCCGATTTCTGAGGTCTCAAGGTTGGCAAGTATGGCCGCGGCACATGACGGTTTTGTGTGCCCTCCCATGAAAATCATATGCCCTCTCTGTAGATTTGTTCTGGCGCCGGGTCTGGTCAGGAGGAAACCAAAACTGCATCTTTTTTAAATGAATAAAGCTTAATGTGGCACGGAGAATCACAATACCCCCCTTACTTTGGTGTTCGCGGTCAAATTTGACCGGTCCTGTTTTAACTGCTATTACATTAACACAAAAACCATTCATCATCACCAAATTTCATTTAACACCCTTTCAAACTGTAAATATTGTATCAGACTACAGGTATACATGAACAACTGCAGTAAATATACAAAGAATAGACACTGAACATGCGTGTGCCAGGTGTGATCCATGTGGGGGGATGGGCACATAAGAGCGGGAAATGTGTCAAATTGTTCTGTGTGTGTGTGTGTGTGTGTGTGTGTGTGTGTGTGTGTGTGTGTGTGTGTGTGTGTGTGTGTGTGTGTGTGTGTGTGTGTGTGTGTGTGTGTTGGATTGCAAATAGCACTGCTGACAAACAGAGAGCCAAAGAAATGATTTACGTGAGTCTTTAATAATTTCCACATCCCCTTCAGACAGAGTATAATAATACATTTGGTGACAAAGTGCAAACAGAGCTCTGGAACATGGAGTTAATAAATGTTTTCTCAATCCCTCATCGGTAACACGACATGACAAACACTCAACAACACAACTGAGGTGAGAAGCCGCGTGTTCTCCTGTTTTAAAAGTGGAATCATGTCAGGTATTTCTCTGAGGTGTGTTATTCCTAAAGCATGTCAGAAATACAACACTAATGGTCTTCAGCTCGTGTTAATGATAAATAGTCGGAGGAATGACTTCATGTTGTTCAATATTTGTTTAAATTATCCCATCAGCACTGACTATTTATATTCTTTCTATAAATAAGGGTTCAGTCTTCAATGGTACCTTCGTTTAACCCTAAATACACTTCATTATAAAATAGAATACAAATTCAGAGCACCTTTTAAACAACCAAGTATCCTTTCACTAAAGAATAAAATAACAAATTATATATCTGTGTGTGAGTTAAACTGCAGAATAAACATACATGCTTTAAAACGCATGCTTCTTGGTTTAATAAGGCACATTTTTATCAGGGTTTAACCCTCCTGTTGTCTTCAGGTCAAATCTGACCGATTTACTACTTTCATCAATCATAACTTTTTTGTTGTACATTCGATTGCATTAAGGCTTTATGATATCCTTCACAGTAGATATTTGAACATATAAAATTGCTGATCACCACTTTCATAGAATTTTGGATGATTTTGTCAACTTTGTAACACCCATGGTGTTCCCGGTCAAACATGACCACCATAAAGAAAAGGAATTAGTAACCATCCGGATCAGATAAAACACACACACAAACACCCACACCCACACACACACACACACACACACACACACACACACACACACACACACACACACACACACACACACACACACACACACACACACACACACACACAGAACAATTTGATACATTTCCCGCTCTTATATGCCCATCCCCCCACATGGATCACACCTGGCACACGCAATACATGTTCAGTGTCTATTCTTTGTATATTTACTGCAGTTGTTCATGTATACCTGTAGTCTGATACAATATTTACAGTTTGAAAGGGTGTTAAAATGAAATTTGGTGATGATTAATGTTTTTTGTGTTAATGTAATAGCAGTTAAAACAGGACCGGTCAAATTTGACCGCGAACACCAAAGTAAGGGGGGGAACTAAGACAATAGGAGGGTTAAATAACTAAAAAGCACATTATGGGTCTTTTTGGGAAACCTATATGGGAGAGTCAAACCAATCAGAGATAATCTGTACAAATTCAATTGTTTCTTTTACGTGCAAAGATTATTTGTGTCCCTTTTTAACATGCTTTAGATATGCAAGATTTAAAAGAAGTTTGTAAATAGGTTGTGTATTTTAATCCCATATGTAATAGACCATGTGTTTGGTCTGACACAAATACAAAATAAAGTAATGAAAAATTATTCCTTCACTCCATTACAGAGAAGATCTTTCTTGTCCAAAATACAAAATGCTCGTTAATGTCAGGGTAGAAAAGTTTATTTTAAAACAACCGATCCAGTCGCACATTGTGGCTGAGAGTATTCACTCAGCTTTCCTCAAGTTGTCTGCACACAAACAACCGTCTTTCAATGCGATAAAAAACACTAATTTCTTACAAATAACATAAGTTAAAATCTAGCCGACTCTACAATATAAGATAAAGACATAAATACAAAACACGTTTAAAAGGTAAACAACAAATAACTGCACATTAAAAGCAACAATAACGGTATTCATTATTCAGGTCTAGTCTTCAGTCAGGTCAGCTTCTGTGGGACAGAGAATATGAATCAGGGATGAGCTCGTCCTCTTCATCGTTTATTTAAATCTTTTAATGTCAGGGGTGAAATTGATTGACTGATTGATTGATTGATTGATTGGAATCCGAGACTCACACGGTGATCCTGCAGTTCCTGGCCTGAACGTAGCCTCCTGTGTATCGGATGTCACAGAGGACCTCGTTGTTGGAGAAGTCAGATTCCTGCACCGCCTGAGAGGGGTTCACCGTCACCTGAGAGAGAGAGGGGGGGGGGAGAGAGAGAGAGAGAGAGAGAGAGAGAGAGAGAGAGGGGGAGTCTGATCACTGAGGAACAAGTCGACTCGAGTCACTGTTTAACGACTCGGAAAATGTACTTGACAAAAGAGAAGTGACTCAAAACACGACTTTGACTTCAAAGTTAAAGACTTGTGAGTTGCCTTGAATTGAGAAATGGCTGAAATGACTTAGGAATCCTTTGCCGCTCACTTCACATCTGCATAAAAAGAAATCAGTAAGAAATCACAAAAAGTGAATTAAGACTGACTTAATTCACCCTTTTCTTCACTAATCGACTGATGAAGACTTTTGAGTTGCCTTGAATTGAGATATGGCTCAAATGACTTTGCAGAGATGAACGATTTAAATACATCGACCTCCTTTCCAATCCTTACTTAAACATGGGGATAACTACGGTGGCCGACAGGTGCAAACGGTCCAAGACATTTAAATCTGGAGAAATGTGCTGCAATTCCAGAAACTGTGTTATTATATAAGCAGAATTGTGCCAAGAAACATGAAGGAACATCTTCAACAACTTGAGGAAACATGTGCAGCGCTGCAAGAAACTCAAAACACAACAGAAACCATGGGGACACTAAAAAGTGACGCACACAGACAGAAAGTTGGCTAAGCCATGTTTCCTCCAGTTTGGTGAAGATGTTTGCATATGTTTTGGTACATTTGTGCACACGTTTTTTTAAACTGCAGCGAGTTTCTCCTGCTGGAAGTGTTTTTGAACACGTTTGCAACTCTCTCTGCCACCTTAGAAAAACATATGACAAGAGCTTTGACTTTTTGAGACAACAACGTTTTCCCAGGAGCTCTTCAGGGCTGAGAAAGGTGACCTGATTTTGGGTTTGACTTCCCTTGAGGGCACAGCCAAACATGCGCAAAATTAACATTTACCTCCCACGTACTTCCCTTATATGGAAGCGACAGTGGGAACAAACACTTACTTCCAGTGGAAAATATATTCCTTATCTTCTCATCAAGTCAAGTTAAATTTTGTGTAATTTCACACATTTTAAAATCCAGGAAAGTGACCGTCTTTCTTTCAACTAAAGATTCACTAAGGTTAAACTTGATGTGATGCAAAGATGTTTCCCGACATGAAGCAAATATTATCCATCACTTCTGCATGCATAGAAAGGAATTGAACAACATGTTTGCGTGTGTGAAAGGACTCAACTTTTTACCAGACTTGATAAGGAAAAATTACTTGTACACTTGTTTGAGACTAAATGACTTCACATGTCTGCCTGAGAAGCAGCTAAATACTTCCTTTGATTGCAGTGATATGAACACATGCTGTGAAGTTAATAATTCATGGTGATTGGAATGATATATATATATATATATATATATATATTATCAGAGATGGCAAAAGTACACCCATCCTTTACTCAAGTAGAAGTACAGATATTCGTGTTTAAAAATACTCTGGTAGAAGTAGAAGTACTGACTAAACTTCTTTACTCAAGTAAAAGTAAAGAAGTATGGGCTTTGAAATGTACTTAAAGGGGACCTATCATGCAAAATGCACTTTTGTACGTCTTTTATACATGAATATGTGTCCCCGGTGTTCCAGGGAACTCACCAAGTGTCAGAAAACACAACCCTCTCTATTTTCCTCCATACCCAAATCTCTAAAAAAGGGGCTGCAACGGATCTGATAAAAACTGATCCAGATTTGAACACTGTCCTGACGTCAGGACGGTGGCGCTACGGCTATTGGGCCAACTCCACCAATCAGGAGGAGACAGCCACGGCCATTGCTGTTCGAAAGCGCTGGAGACGCTGTAGTACATATGCCAGACCTGTAGATGGTGCTGTTCTCACTGAATCTGCCCTTGCAAAAACAGAGCTAAAAAATGTCAAATTGAGCAAAATGAGGCATGGCTAAAATGCATGATCTGTTTGGTATTTTGAAGAAAAAAAAGTATAAATATGCCTTATATAGGTATGGTCCTACACTATATTATTCAAATATAGCATGATAGGTCCTCTTTAAGTAAAAAGTACCCATAACTAGCAGCTGTTTTAAAGAGTACCTGACCTCCCTTTATATTAATAGAACAATAATGTCATTGTTAGCTAATGAATGTTTCCATGCTGAACAACGGCAACATGACAACGTTTTCATTGGTCCCTCTTCTTTAGAGAAGACCAGGAAATGATGGATACACGGATCGTACAGGTATTTGGGTTCAAAATGTAAGAAGTCAAAGTAAAAAGTCGTCAGAAAAATAAGTAGTGGAGTAAAGTACTGATACCAGAAAAATGTACTTAAGTACAGTAACAAAGTATTTGTACTCCACTACTTCCCACCTCTGTATATTATAATAAATTGTTAATGTTCTCCCACCCTCAGGATGTAGTTTCCCGGTGGAACGTCGGTGATGTCGATCCACTGGCAGTCGATGTTGGCGTGATACGTGTCGTAGCAGCCTGGACTGAGACCCTGAGGAGAACCAGATTTAGCTGATAAATAAATAAAATAATGTCTAGATGTTTAGAAGAATAAATAAAGGATGGACTGACCTGAGTGTGAGCCGTGCAGGCGAAGCGCCGCCTGACCCCCGGGTCACAGGACGTGTCCTCCAGACAGAAACTGGCCTTATGTCCCTCAGCCACCTTCTGACCCGAGGAGACGTCCAGCAGGTCGTAGTTACTGAACGCCTCCATGCTGTGGTAATGTCTGCACACAGGGGGGGAGGGGGGGGGTATCTTTAATTATAAGTGTTATAAAAATATCACTCGTCACCGGCTTGAGCTTCAATCTCAGGATCCATGTATTTCTGATCCTCTCAAGAATGGAAGTAGTCATCACATACAGAGCATCAACTAGTTCCTGAACAGTGTCCTTCACATGCTGATATCCAAGAGAGGGAGTTACACAGTCACAAGATGGAGGAATACCGGTTCTTCTAAGTAATCATACATCCAGTCATGTTCAAAATACTGAGTATTTTCTGAAACTGTTGATTTCTTTTCTGAAAATGCTGACTTTTTCTCAAAATTCTGACTTTTTTTCTCAAACTTCTGACTTTTTTTCTCAAAATCAAAAAGTTTTGACTTTTTAACTCAAAATCTCAAAATTCTGACTTTTTAACTCAAAATCTCAAGATTCTGCCTTTTTAACTCAAAATCTCAAAATTCTGACTTTTTTTCTCAAAATCTCAAAAAAGTAGTCATCACATACAGAGCATCAACTAGTTCCTGAACAGTGTCCTTCACATGCTGATATCCAAGAGAGGGAGTTACACAGTCACAAGATGGAGGAATAGAAAGCAGTATTCAATGTTTACTTCAGATTAGCTCCACGTCAGAAATGATCATGCTTGTCATATGTCTATCTCCATAGAGGCTGAATCATCATGTTAATCACATAGCTATCATATGCCTAAAACAGTCCTGATGCTCTTCTAGGTAATCATACATCCTGTCATGTTCACAGCTACAGTTGGGATACCTTTGTTATCATGTTACTCTGATATTGGAAGAGAACATTCAGTATTTTCACAACAATAAGTAAAAGTAATACGTAGAATGTGTTACAAGGAAGAGTCCAGGCACAGACTGGTTTGGTATGAACTCACTGGTGGCAGCTGTGCCACTCCCACTCGTGTTGAGGCTTTACAGGGAGGAAGTCTGCGGTTCCCTGGTTCTTCACTCGCTGAGGGAACCGCAGCAGAACCCTGTAGTCCAGGTCTCTGACGCTGGGCTGAGACGCAGACCTGAGGAGAGGAAGAGGAACCAAGATTACAAAGAGGTTCACCTTTTTGTTAGTGAGATCTTCAGGGTTGGGGAAGCTAATTTAAAAGCTTTGTTTCAAGGACTGTAGTTGACAATAAAAGCCTTGAATCTTGAATTAGAACAATCATTTATTTCCTTTTCCCGCCCAAATTCATTTGTAGTTTCAGTTTTCTTACAGAAATAAAGGCGAAAAAGGAATTGAATCACTTTGCAAATATGAATGTTTTTGGACCCCCCTCAAGCAGCTGCAAAATGTAAATGAAGTACATGTTGAACTCTGCAACACTGGATATCTCTACGGTAAGATTACATAAAATAAGATTAGCAGCGGTGCAACAACAATTAAGGAAGTAGTTTAAAAAAACATGAAAGACATCCTGAGATGTAATAAAATTGTTGCACATATGATGTAAAAATATATTGCGCAGGATATGATATTGGGCATGAATACATGAATGAATTTGAATGTATGTGTGTCCACTGGCAGCTTCACATCACCCTCACACTGCACATTAACCTCCGTCTCCTGAGTTTACATAACGCTGCATCACTCTGAGGTTTTGAGTCACCTCAGGAATCCTCTGCCGTTCACTTCACAGATTCTTTTTATTTGGAAAGAGCCGCTCAGATCAGAGGATCTCAGCCGCTCTGCTAAAGAGTCCAGATGGGAGCCAAGCCAAAGTACATCCCACTGTGGCAACCTCACAGGAACTAAAAGATCATATTTCTTTATTTTAAAGTATTGATGTTTGTGTTTAAAACCTTTTATTACACAGTAGAGAGCTTGTGCATAAAGATTGTCAGTCAAAAATCATAACAAAAGTGAATTAAGACTGACTTAATGTACCCTTTTCATCACTAATTGACTGATGCATTTGATCTTGATTTGACTGACACATCAAAGGGTCCCTATTCTGCTCATATTCAGGTTCATATTAGTATTTAATGTCTCTACTGTGATTTGTCTCCGTGCTTTAATGTTCAAAAAGCTCTTTATTTTTCTCACACTGCAGCATCTCTTGCAGACCATTTACATGCACACAAACCTCTAGAACACACTAGAGCACATGTGTCAAACTCAAGGCCCAGGGGGCCAAATCAGGCCCTTTGTGGATTTAATTTAGGCCCGCAGGATAATTTAAAATTATTATTAGATCTGGCCTGCCGGTATATTGCACGCACACCTTCACTCAATCCTGAGGATCTCCTCAGCTCAGAGCCTGAGCCCAAACATTGATGACCTTGCACCCAAGATGAGATGCCAAGTATCTGGCTTGAACTAGCATCACAGAGCAGCACACTGAGTTTACATGGATGTTTCCTTCTGCACTTTCTTTCTTGAGACAACAGGGCATGTTTGGTTTGTTCTTTGAGGGAAATAGTTTTGTTGAAGCTGTTGTTGGCCTGTGGAAAAATGTAATCATAAGAAATGACTCTGGAAAAGCTGCAGATAGAGCCATAAGAAATGAATGCAACTGATTATTTAATGTTTAATGTTGTTTTTACAGGCAATCATTTAAGCTGTGTTAGTTCCAGGTTTAATATGTGCAATAAGTTCATTTCAATAAGTTTTGCAATAAACATTGAACAAGTCCGGCCCTCGACTAGTACCCATTTTTTTATTTTGGCCCACTGTGTATTTGAGTTTGACACCCCTGACGTACAGAAAAGAGGAAACCCCAACAAGCAGAATAGGGCCTCTTTAAGGTGGTGTGGTTTCTAACAAATAAATGAATGTACCTGGAGAGACAGTTTTCTTCAGCAGCACAGCGGAGTGCGTACATCTGAACCCTCTGGATGTAAGAGGCAGCCTGGATGTAGTACGGGTCAGGAACCAGGTCTGGGAGACCTGCAGGAAAAATAAATGAAAATAATGTAAACTGACTCAACTAGAAATGCATTTATTTTCCATTAATACTTCCAAAAAGTAAGGTCTTCAAACTTGTTCAGTCTTCTGGAAAAGGGGAGGAAGCGTTAAAATGCATAAACAATTTTGAAGTTTAACTTCTTATTTACTTTGAAAATTGAACAATTATCAATGGAAAACAAGTATTTACCTTTGTACCTAATTTAATTTCAAATACTATTAACAGCAGAGTTTGACAGTTTATTAAATGGAGAACTTTTAGTACTTAATACTCTCATAACTTCATTATCTTCTGCACCACTGCTGGCCAAATCCTGCACTAATGGCTCACTTCCAGTCTATTAAACTGCCATTAACTTCAATTAGGCTCCGAGGCTTTCATACTGCATATAATAATTATATCATTAGTAGAAGACCAACTCTGACTCTCATGAAAATGAATTAGAACAAAATATCAATTATATTTAGAAAATGAGCTTGGGTCATCTTTGGTTCAAAGTAAGGGCTTCAAGCTCTCTTCTGGAAAACAGGAGTATAAACGTTTCAATTGATAACCCTGGAATTATTTTAAAGTCTTATTTAATCAAGAATGATGTCGTGTTACTTTGGTTAAAGAGTCTCCTGTTCGCCTCACCGTTGTGGAAGAACCTGGTGCCATACCCCGGTCCTGGTGGAGGGCGCGCAGTGATCCTGTTCCTGCGGTCTGCCGGGTAAACATCATAGAAAACGGAGTTCCTATGATGGATACTGTGCGGATCCCGAGCGTCCCCAACACTCGGAGTCCTGGTTGTTTCCGGCCTCTGCCTCGGGAAGTGAATCTCCACCGCGTTACTGGACAGAGCTGTGGGGGGAACACTAGATTCTGGAGTGTTTCTGGTCAGGGAGTGCGCTCTTTGGGCACTTTGAGCGTCTCCAACAGAGTTTTGCGATGCGTCAGGTGATTCTGAACGTGTCCTGTGCGTAAAGTCCGGGGATCTCACCGGAGGAGTTGTGGTATGGTGTGGATCACTTCCAGGTGTGCTCCGGCCTCCTCTTGGGACTCCACTGCCGGAAAACTCCTGGATGGAGGTGAAAGCTGCGGCGCTGCTGTTGGATACCGCCTGTTGCGCACGTTGTCCCGGAGCCTCTCTGGTGGACCCGAGGCGCGTTTGGGGCTGGTTGTGCGTCCCTGGTCTTCCCGAAGCGAGTAAATACTGACCTGCATCCACACCGAGCACCGACACATCCATCTGACTCACCTCGTTTTGGATAGAGGGACCTGCGGCTGCGTCCTGGATCTCTCCATGTCTGGTTCTGGCGGGTCTTCTGAGCCCAACATGGGGGTAAGGTCGGTTAAAACTGTGTCTGGTTGTCAAGAAAAGCTTCGTTCGTCCCCTGGTCTGCGCAGGTGTGTGATACTGAGTCCCCGTGCTCAGCAAACTGAACACCTGGCCGTTATTCTGCCACTGGAACCGGTGCTTCCATGGCCCTCCAGGTGTGCGTAAATGGTGCTGACCGGAACAAAAACACACCAAAACATCCAGCAGGAAGATTAAAACCAGCACACACTTCTCCATGGCTGAAAGTCTGCAACACTGAGACATTAACCACGAACATTTGGGTTTAACATCCTGATGGGGGGTGTTTTACAGACGACCCCGTCACGCATTTGCGCACAGCATCACCGCAGAGAGAGAGGAAAGACGTCTCCAAATGTTTGTAAAGTGAGGTAATGTCAGAGGAAAAGGGCATTTATTCAGCCATGCACAGCGAAGGAGATGCACTCAGTTAAACCGTTTCAGCACCAACGAAGAAGACGAAATATACTTTTTTTATTGTCTTTTATTTAAAAATGTTTGATTTTTTCATCGATCCAAGTTATTAAGCAAAAGCAAATCTAGAAGCTGACTGAACTTATTAAACAAGACATGTTTTAAATGTCTAATCTATTTATTTTTCCTAATATATATTAATATTACTTATATAACTTATATATTTCCCTAGTCGTGTTAATAATTTTAACATAAGATTTTGGGGACTGATTATTGTATATTTGCTGTTGTAAAGTTGGACACAATGTTTACACCAAAACATACACTCATACAATTATTGAGATTTGTAAACACAATCCTCCCCCGCCGCGCGGGCTGTTGCCTGCTGACTGAGGATAGGTAGAGCTCTCACCACAGGATGGCAGTGAACCCATGAGTGAACCCTTTCTGAGAGACAGATCTACTTTCATCAAAGTCTCGTGACTCCTGCAGACGTCCTTTCTTTTTCCAGCTTTGAAACTGAATGCATTAAAGTCAGATATGAGCGTGAAAACAAACTCATTAACCTCACTTAAGGTAAAATAACTTAACATTCAAACTTCCCCTAAATGTGTTATCTCCTGCTCTTCATTTCTTTCTTAACTTGTGATGTGTGACATATTTCAGAGTCAGGTTTATTTATATTCTTTAATCACTGTACAGTTTGAATTGGCTGCAGACCATTCATATTCCTAAGGGATGTAAGCGAGGTCTGTTCATTAGGTTTATGTGCTCCACTTTATAATATACTTTTTTTTTTCCTGGATTAGGAAAAGTCTGGTGTCTGCTTAAAGAAAGCACGATGTATAAATATAAAAAAAATTAAGTCATACACAATCATTTTCGTAATAAAAATATAAGAAATTTGAAAAAACACTAAAAAAAGTTAATGTAAAAAAAAGTTACAAAAAATGTTTTCAAGATTTGCGATTAAAAATAAATACATTTAACAAAAATAAAAGTCTAGAAATTAAAGAAAAAACAAGTAAGTCAGACTTTAGATTGTATTTTTCAGCGAGGGGCCGATCCCGAGGGGCCGCTGAAGGAGGAGCAGCACCTCGGGACCAGAGGTGGTCAGAGGTCACACACCCCTCTGAATACACACACACACACACACACACACACACACACACACACACACACACACACACACACACACACACACACACACACACACACACACACAGCAATTCCTTTCAACAATCTGAGTGAGGGTAAAGCAGGAGAAACAGGACTAGGGGAGAGTGTGTATGTGTAATAATAATAATAATAATGCTAATAATAATCAGTAAGTAAATAAAAGACGTTACCTTCGTTGCTCTCTTCCAATCTTATTTTAAGTTTAATTTGATAACCATCTATAAACGATATATAAATCAATACAAACATCATGTAACAGTTCACTTTAGAGCAGAGCCAGAGCGTCTCATACCAGCACATGCTCTCCTTGTTTGGTTTGCACCTATTCAAATAACAGCCAGTCTTTGAGTTCCTAAAGACATCAGCTGCAGTCACATCACTCGTCATGAGTGAGTGTGTGTGTGTGTGTGTGTGTGTGTGTGTGTGTGTGTGTGTGTGTGTGTGTGTGTGTTGAAAGTGGAGGAAGAGGACGTGCAGTAAAACACTGCGACATGGACTCACGGTGCTTAACAGCAGTGTGTGTGACGGACGTTAGAGCACACACACTAGGGCTGGAACATCACTCACAATGTTGACCTGAATAAAAGTAGTGAGACACAGGTGAGACGAACTCTGTTTCAATGTAGAATTATAATTAAATAAATTGGTTTTCAGCTTTACTCAATTATTGTAAGTACAACTTTGTGGTATTTGTACTTGTATTTCCATCTCCTGCTACATAAAACTCCTACTCCACTACATTTTCTTCCACCTCTGCACAAAGCTACATCACAATGTACGGGAAGTGCGTACATAATGCAAACACTGTAAGGTAGCAGCAACGTGTGACATTAGATGTTCACGACCTTTTACAGCCGATTCATCACACACACACACTCACACACTCACACACACACACACACACACACACACCACACACACACACACACACACACCACACACACACACACACACACACACACACACACACACACACACACACACACACACACACACACACACACACACACACACTGAATGAGGTCTAGACAGGATTGATGATTAATAAAGTACGTCTTCTTTTTTCTATTTTACAGAGGTGTAGTATACTCAGATCTCAAACTTCATTAAAGTAACGCTCAAGTGTAAAAAAAAATATGACTACAAGTAAAAGACTCACATTCAACATTTTACTCAAAGGTCACCTATCATGCTATTTTTAGGCAATAGCATAGGTCTCAGATATACAAATATATAAAAAACATGTCGATGAAGTGTTTTGCTCAAAATACCAAACAGATCACCCATTCTAGCCATGCCTCATATCCCTCTATTTCACTTCCTGTTTCAAAAGTGCTGATGTGGGGTATAAAGCAAAAATAAATGATAACAAATAAAAAAGGAGGGGGCTGAGCTCATGCGGGACCCGGCAGCTACTGTCTAAACTAAATACTGCCGTGATGAAACGCCATATCATGGATTATCAAGGATTGTTTCTGAAACAGTATGGAGCTCAAAGGCTTTCTCTCTTGCCGGTTATACCACAAGGTGAGTTCCTTTTTATTTCCTGCTTCTTCACACACATGCTCTCCAGTACAGGTTAGCTCTGAGTGTTAGCGATGCTAATGTAAACACCGACCATATTACGTCCAAAACAGTCGGGCATTGTTTCTGATAGCAACGTTTCTGATAGGGCCGTGGGTCCACATTTCAGATATTACGTCATATCGGACGCAAATCTGGATCAGCTCCGTTGTAGCCCCGTTTTTAGAGATTTGGGTACGGAGGAAAAGAGAGAGGGTTTTATTTTCTGACGCTGCGTGAGTTCCCCGACACACCGGGGACACATATTTATGTATGAAAGACATCAAAAAGTGCATTTTGCATGATAGGTCCCCTTTACAGGGTTCTTGCACCTTTTCCAAAGTCAAATTCAAGCACTTTTCAAGCATTTTCAAGGTGCATTTCAAGCTTATCAAGCATCTTACAGCTGTTGTAAATTACATATTTATATACACATACTTATCCTCAAATGATTATTTCCCTACCTCACATTAAATCAGATGTTCTTTATGCTATAAACAACCAAATGTGTGTTTCGTGATAGCATTCTACATGAGGATGATAAATTAAAGAAAAAGAAACAAAGTGTAATATTTCAAAATGAGTGACCCATCTGTAAGTAGACTGGGCATCCCATATAGAGAACCGCAGTGACGCGTCCTAAAACCCGGAAGTAAACTTCTTCCGGTTCCTTCGACAAAAACGCAATGCAATTTCTCCATAGGATTTTGGAATATCCACATTTCTTATAATTTTCGAATCATAAATCTATCGATCATAAATCTATCGATTAGATTTATGATTAGAACATTATAAAAGTAGGGTAGACATGTGGAGATTATCCGGCTGAACAAAACGTGATCCGTCTCTTAAATGTGTCTCAACCACAGACCTTATTTCCAGCTATTTTCCTAAATCCTATGGAGAGATTGCATTGCGTTTTTGTCGAAGGAACCGGAAGAAGTTTACTTCCGGGTTTTAGGACGCGTCACTGCGGCACTCTATAACCTGGCTGAGCCAATATACAACAATCCGCCATATAACTTTTCAATACATTCTTTATTAACATGTTTCAGGTCCTTAGGTTGGCAGTGAACATAAGGCTCTCCCAGGTTAGGCCAAAGGGTGCATTATATGCACACATATACTGTATAAACTCAAATGTGAATTTTCCTTCACATTGAATCAGCAATCAGAAATTATGCAAATTAAATCAACTTTCAATCAGTCTTTGAGCTCCTTGAGTTCAAAAAGCAAACAGAAAACCTGCACAGAACACTGCACTGAATCATTCAAGGTAAGGCTAAACAGCATACGGCCTGTTAGGGAGTGTCTTTCAGTTCCTTGAGTTTGTCCGTTAGCTGTCTCTCCAAAGTCTCCAGATGTCTTTCCTTTTCCTTAGCAGCTCTTCCAAGGCCATTGGGCTTGGAGATGAAGCTTAGTTTTCTTTTTATGCAACTGTGTACTACTTCTACTCCACTACAGTTCAGAGGTAAAGGTGTACTTTGACTCCACTACATGTATTTCCCTTTAGTTACTTTACAGATGTGGATGAATGATGTGAAATATAACCAAGTGTTAAATCAGACTTTAGTTACACCTGGAGTAAATTCACAAGCTACCCTGCAGTATACAAAGTCATTCAAACTAGCTGCACCTTTACCAGCTTTTTTTATTTTTTCTAAATATTTTTATTCACATGGAAAAAAAGAGTAACAGTGCATTACAGCAATTAAGGCATTTTCATTTTTCCCCCAAAATACTCCTTACTCACTTTCCCTTAACCCCGCCCCATCCCAACCACCCCTCTCCCGGAGCACTGAGGCAACAGTACATCAATTACATACAAAATGATAGATACAATAATATACATGCACATACACATACCTGCATACATACATACATGTACACATACTAACACATATCCAGGGATGTCACACGGGCTGCATGTGTGGCGGACAGGGGAGTAATCATATCGGAATTATAGACAGATAAAGGGAGAATCCCTACAGCGACACCATATCAGGGGGAAGACGGTCTACATAGCTGATCAGTGGCCTCCAATGAGCGTAAAACTTATCTGA